AACAACCCAGAAGACAGAAATCTTCATACTCATCGCCCTGATGACGGAGGCAGTATGACCTCTGAAACGTTGGTTAACATCGACCAGACTTCACAGCGCAACAACCCAGAAGACAGAAATCTTCGTACTCATCGCCCTGATGATGGAGGCAGTATGACCTCGGAAACGTTGGTTAACATCGACCAGACTTCACAGCGCAACAACCCAGAAGACAGAAATCTTCGTACTCATCGCCCTGATGATGGAGGCAGTATGACCTATGAAACGGTGAAAATCTACCAGACTAAGCGGCGCAATAACCTAGAAGACAGAAATCTTAATACATAGCGAAGTTAACGGACTAATTATTGAGAATTTTAGTTGTAAACTCGCTTAAAAAGACCTAGTTCCAGGAATGGTCTATCCTGGCAACAATTTTTGTACAAAGAAAATCATTTCCCCGACCGCCATTCGAAATACTGAATTCAGGTCACATAAGTCAGTGCGTTGGTTCCAGAAACTGGATTCGAACACAATACCTTCGACATCTAAAGCAACAGCTCGAACGCAAAGATGTTTCGTATTCAGGAAATTTTTGGTCTGAATCATGGATCGGAGACCTGCTATCGTGACTGAACTCTTACGTAATTTTCCACGAGCCTCTCAAGCAAATGCTTGATAAACATTAAAAACAGGCCAAAATCGATTTCCACAGCCTTCTCAACTCAGCAGTCAAATGGTTGGAATCTCGATCGAGTTCCGATTATACTAAATAAGGTTTCTAGTCCTCTCCAGGCAAATACTGCATCAGAAATTTGATACAGGTAACGCCAGCTTTCTTCAAAATAGTTGCCTATCCACAATTCATAACCATCCTTCAGTTCCATCAAACGCACTATAATAACTTCAGTAGGAACAGTGTCATTTAGACTATATCAATCCACGCCCCTTAACCCAAGAAGAAAGCGTTGTTAAATAGACCAAAAACGTATGTAATCGTCGCGAAACGGATGCATGACTAGTCTGAGGGATGCCCGGGAGGAAAACTCCGTGTTGCCTAGACCACGGCCTTGCCCAACACAAGTTATAAATTCGGGCACCGCCGGGAATCGAACCCGAGACCCCAGGATTACAAGGCCAGCGTTCTAACCGCTAGACCACCGTGGCATAGTCTGAGATGCAATATAATAAAATTAAGGAAACCAACAGCATGGAACAGAGTCCTTCTCGAAACGCTCGCAGTCGTTCAAATGGTTAAAAAATTCCCCGTCTTTGAAGGAAACCGAAGATCCACTGTCGTGTTTACAAGGCCCCGCCACCAGTCCCGATCATGAGTATCATGAATCCAGTCCACACCCTCGTAATATAATTTCCTTAAGGCCCACTTTAATGACACCCTCCCATTTACTCATAATCTTCCGTGTCTTCCCTCCAGGCTTCCCAACCAAAATATTTTACACATTTCGCATGCACACACCCTCCTGATAATATTAAATACGCAATCGCAGACAACAGACAAGGTGTGGTCCTCCAGTTTGGGCTTGGGAGGGGCGCTATAAGTCCTCATCGTAAGAAACCAACACGTTACAAATCACGGGCCTACTTATTCTTAACTAAACCACTAAGTCGCTGTCGCGTGACGCCGAATGCTTTAAGTGTATTCTGGCGTGATATTAATGTTTTTAACCTTACACCCCTCTCCTGTGCTACACAAACTCAAGAGTATCGAGCTCCTCGCTTCACGCCAATGCAGTACGCGCACAGGACTGTTTCTACATCGGGACACCAGCATGTCGGACTGCGAAGTGCATCCAGAGCGATTTGTGATTATTATTTAACACAGCATTTATTAAATGAGATTTGTGTTAAATAACAGCGCTTTTGTTAACTGTGATTTCACGACTCATAGCAGTTAAAATCTCCCTGAAATATGTAGAAAAACACGAAAGCATTTCGTAGATAAAACGTGTTTATAAATAAATACTTCGTAATAAAATGAACAAGGTTAATGCCAATGGCATAACTGATTTATGATTATGTGAGAAATGATTTTCAACGCCACGTTCCGGAAATTAAATCTCAGGATATTAATGCGCGGACTAGGTCATGGTCAGTTGTCAGGACGCTGCAACGTCGAGGAATCTAAGACCTCGGATGTTTGTTTTGTTTGAATGATTTACATCCAGTTTTGAATGGACTACGAGAAAAGTTCTCTCTGCTAATGCACTTTGTGTCGACACGAACGTAATATTTCAAGCGTCGTCGTTCCAGGTTGCCGGTCGTAGAGACTTCCGCCAGCGTCGATAAGTCGGCGGCACGAATGACTCAGTCTAGAGGCGGCGGCGGTGGTGGTCTGTTTTCGCGGCTGTGTCCGTGCTGCCAGAAGTTCTCCGGCTGCCTCAAGAAACTGGGCTGCTGCAAGTGTTTAGCAAGCAAGTCAATTGCTGGTTCCAAAGTGGGGATTCTCGTTGGGTCCAAGACGGGAATGATCGGAGGGTCTAAGGTCTCTGTGGATGAAGGAGGAAGATCAAGGCCAGTTCCCGCAGGAGCAAGGAAATGTGGGTGGCTGAGAATGGTCCTGTGCTGCAGCTGTTGCAAGAAGAAGGGGGACTCGGAGGCCATCGACGGCAACCGCAGAAGAAGCAACGCGACTAGCCGGATGTCCAAGAAACAGAGTCGGTCCTCCAGCACCGCCGTTGAGGTTGGTTTACGGTTCCAGTATGTTTAATACCATCGCATATCACACTGTACCTCCAGCCTTGACGTCCACTCCTTACATTTCCTCCTTTTCAAAGGTTGTTTAATGAAACTATATCAACTGTTGTAGCCATTTAAAGCTGAACGAGATATGTTTCTTAGTTAATTGAACTACAAATTATATAGCACCAAATGTAAAATGTATCTCTAATAATGAATTCGAAATAATGTCGAAGGAAATAGCTGTCGTCTAAAAGGAACTGACCAACCGTGCTCTTTGAGGAATGAGGAAAAATATTCAGTCAGGCTTGCCGAACTAAGGCCCGAGATATAAACCGACGATATAAGGGGGGGGGGCTAGTTCAGGGAGCTCGGAAGGACTCGCGCGAGCCCCTTAATAGGTTTTGGATAATTATTTTTGTTATCGGAACAGAAAATATAAGATTATGCAAGATGTATCAAAAATTATCGATACTTTCAAAACGATGCTAACCATTCAACCGCGTGTTCGATAATATGATAGGATGAAATTATTCTTCAAAATCGCCTTAGAATATATGACGACAGATGTCTGATAAAAAAAAGAAATTATCATGAGGGTGGTTCTTGAAGGGCACAGATACTACATGACAACCACGAGACACAGTTTGATTTCATGACGAACCATTTCTCATACAAAGCTTAATCGAAATTCAAGGTGTGATTATTCTACAAATTTGTTAAGTTCTGAAATGTTACAGTTTTGTTGACTTTTTTTCCCAGTATTACTGTAATGGTTCTTTTCTTATAAGAATCCACATTACTGGTTTACAAATAGATGTCATTTGGTTTAAAGAACATGTTCCAATTTGTAGATTACACTGCCTAATATACACTGCTCCAGTTTTATAATTTGTTCCTTATTCCAGGTGGATACCAGGCCGAAGTTGGATTCATCATTGGTGGAGAATGGATCCATGATTCGGGGTGCCATCCCTGTACTCCCTGTTCCGCTTGCATGGATTTGTCTCTTTTTCAACGTCCCCCAGATTGGCAAAAACATAGCCTGATCTTGAAATAACTGTCATAGAAACTGTCAGAATAAAAATTGTACTTTCAGAAGGGAGATGAGATGAACAAATCCTGAACGCCCTCCAGTTTAAATATTCTACTACTGAGCTGTGTCCACCATTGTCTATCACCACTCTCAAAACATAGGCACATCTATCAATATTATAGAT